TCACATGTAGCTTAGTGCAATTCTGCAGACCCATGTTGAGCTGAGCATGCCTAGTTTATGGTGCTGTGGACTTTCTGACTGTGTGACACAGGTCCCAGCTAGAGCTCTCGCTTTGCAGCTGGCCTGGTCTCTGCCTTGTGACTCTTGACAGTTCAAGGATTGCTCATAGCAGCAACAACAATAGGCCTATTGTCTGGAGCTGAAGAGGGCAACAAAGCCCTTTAGAGATGGGTTCTGCTAATGCCACAGTGTGTGTTTGTAGCAAGAGTGGTATTTGCAGGCTGGGCTTGGTGCATTGCTATTCATTTTGGTGAGTGACTCTTAAAAGGGTCATTAGGGGCCATGCTGTGCCAACATGCTTACTTCTCCTGGGTCCTTTCCATCACTGTACCATGACAGAATGGCAGCCAGTGGAGCTAGGTTCCAGCCCCTGTTGCTAGTCTGTTTAAAGATATATCTATCTTAGGTTGGTTCTCTTCCATGATAGTGTGAGATTCTTAAGGGAGGCTTTGTTCAATGGTGAGGTCTTCTACCAATTTGTGGGAGGGGAGGAAATCTTGATTTGAGTAATCATAGATAAAGGTTTTTGGTTGCTATAACAACATGAGGATATCTATTTGGTGTTCACATGATCCTTGTTCCAGTTTCTAAATATAAGCCCAATCTCACACACTATATCTGATGCCATGGAAACCAAATGTTCTATAAAGATGCAAGAAAGAACTAGAATTTCAGTTCAACAAAAATTGGGGGTGGTGGGGAAAGAACTGGACATCATTTGCCACAGTCATAGCATACTCAGCACCTTCTTCTGGTTTGAACTCAAAAGTGTTTTTTGGTTTTGTTATTTTCCTCCTGAACCTTTCCCACTGATCTGTGGCAGAGAGGGACTTGGTAGATGTGCAGGGTGTTCCATAGTTCCTGCATTCATGTTGTATTAACACATTTATTACTGTGTAAAGACAGATGTCACAATGTAGACTTTACATGCTCCAAATATTTATCTTTACCATTGCCTACCCAATGTATTTTCAGGTATATGATGAAGCTGCCAAATACTGTGTCATATTATTAATTTATGTAACCAAAGATTGACTATACTGATTGGGAACAGGCCTGTCACTCATGTTGCCTGAACTCCTTTTTACCTGGAGCTTCTGGAGGTTAAAACTTGGGCCATCTGCTAGCAAAGCACATGCTATTCAATAAGCTTTCATCCCGCACAACCCATGATCAGCACTTGGAATTTATATATTAAAAAATATCTGGGTCATCTGGTTCAGCTACTCCTTCCATTTTCAGTGTCGTCTTCTACATGGAATTACATCATGAGGAGGCCATTATAGGGAGCCAATTGCATCATGCTAGAGTTTTAAACTGCATGTAAAACTAGTATACCAGAAGTCTGCAGACAGTGTATTGTGATAGTTGTTGCAGTTGTGGTTGTTTTAATTTTATTTGTACCCTGCCTTTCCCCCAAAACTGGGACTCAAGGGAGCTTACAATGTAAGAGCAGTACAATACAGCTAAGGGTGCATTTACACTGTAGAAATAATGCAGTTTGATACCACTTGCTACAATGCTATAGCTACATCTTATAGAATCCTGGGATTTGTACTTTTGTGAGGCACCAGCACTCTTTGGCAGAGAAGGCTAAAGACCTTGTAAAACTATAAATCCCAGGATTCCAGAGGGTGGAGCTATAGCATTGAAAGTGTCAAACTGCATTATTTCTACAGTTTATATGCACCCTAAAACATTTGAAGGTCAACATTAAAATTGAATAAAACTATTCCCAATATGAATAAGAACATAAAAAAGTGATGTACTGGATCAGAACAAAGACCTGTCTAGTCCAGCATTCTGTTCATGCAGTAGCCACCGAGTTGCATTTTGGAAGCCCAGTAGTAGGAAATTAGTGCAATAGCACTCTTTATTTCTGTTCTCCAACAACTGGTATTGTAATGCATACTGCCTCTGAAACAGGAGGTAGTACATTGCCATCATGACCATAGCCTTATCCTTCTTGAATTTGTCTAATTGTCCCTTAGAGCTGTGCATGTTTGCATCCATACCTACATCTTGCATTAGCAAATTGCATAGTTTGACTATGTGCTTTGTGATGAAGTACTTCTGTTTAATTGGTTTTAGAGGAAAGGCCCAGGGAGGAGATAGGTGAGTTGAAAGGTGGCTTGGCATCTGGTAATTACAGTTTTTGCCTTGGTCAGCAAACTCAGGCAAAATTTCTCCAGTTCTGGCTTTGAGTGACAGATCTGCACCATACAGCATGCATCCTGATCCAAGTGTAAAGAGCGTGTACTTATGTGCACTGAACAAAGGGATATTGAAGCATTTAGTCCTATGCTGATGGAGTCCATTATGCTCTCCATTCCCACCCCCCATATCCCCTTTATTTCTAATGTAGCTAATTTAAAAGTAAAACAGAAGTTACAGATTCTCAATAGCTCTGTTTAGTCGGACCCATCAAACTTCCTCTTCTGCTGCATTCCAGGCAACGTAGGAGTCTGCTTACTGTGTTCTTTTCTTTTTTTGTTTTGTGGTTGGAATTTTTACCCTCCTCTCCCCCACAAATTCAGATGGAAATAATCTGAAATATTTGATCATTTTATAGAGCATCCTGATATGGGTGGTGCTCCTGCTGTTTAGGAAATCAGTGGCCAACAGCAGGATGAGTGGGAAGGTGCTGTTTTATCTTACTGACAGGCATAGATGTAAACTGCTCTGATACT